AGTTTTGATTGAGCATAACGAGGTATTGAATCAAATGCATTTGGATCATTTAATTTCTCGAATTCAATTCCTCCCTCAGGAACAAATCTATGAGCATGACTACTAAGATTTACTATACGTGCTGGTTGCGAGGCTTTAATTTTTGGCAATAATAATTTGGTGAAAAGCTATCAATACAAAAAAGTTTGGTTATTATGAATTTTTTATTTTAATAATGTAATTTATTTGTTTACTTACAAAGTGGCCGACATGATTTACTCCAAATTCTTCTTGAATACCATCTTCAGTAAACGAAAATGCTCTATTTTATTTTATTTTATTTTATTCATTATTTGTTCGAATATTGTTATAGTTACAAGTAAAATTACAAGTGAAAAAAAAATAACACTATTACTTACGTTGTAGTGATCCCCGCATTGTTAATTCTGATAAAAATGATCAATCAATTAGAATAAATTCGTAACTTTTAACTACGTAGTGTATAATAATCATAAATAATAAAACTTACAGAATGTGCAATGGTAAATTTCTAGCCAAAAATTTATTGGCGCATTCTTTAACAGATTTCAAGCTTTTTAAATCCAACTGCAAAAATTCAATATTTCGATTACCAGTCTCGGATTTGATTTTTTCAACGGCTGCCTGACCTCTCTCAATATTACGACTTAATACGAATACATGTGCATTTTTTTTGGCCAATTCTCTGCACGTGATATATCCTATTCCAGCATTTCCTCCTGTAACGACCGCAACCTAGTTATACACGTAATAGATAGTTAAAAAATTTTAATAGGCCGATATGTTTTATATTTTAATTAACCGAATGATAATAATATAATTACTTTTCCAGTCAAGTCGGGAATGTTATCAAAAGTAAAATGCTTTTTTTCAGAAGGTTTAACAATTGAATCTAAATCTGTCATTTTTTTGAGAAATTCTAAATCTGCCATTTTTTTGAGAAATCAATTGAGTATAAAGAAGGCATATTTATAAGTTTTTGCTTCATGGGTAATACAACTTCGGATATAATATGCTCTGTATTAGTACACGGAAATAATTATAAATAGAATTTCTCGACAACGAACTTGAGATTAGTAATCAGAGAATAAACTTAGAATTAGTAATCAGAATGAACGAATTTAGAATTAGTAATCAGAATGAACGAACTTGGAATTAGTAATCAGAAAGAGTGAACTTGAAATTAGTAATCAGAAAGAGTGAACTTGAAATTAGTAGTTATAGAGATAACGGTAACGATAACGCGAATTACGAAATAAAGATAAAATAAATTCAGAAATTGATAGTAAAAGAAGAAAAGATAGAAGTAAATAAATTGTATTTGCTCGAAATAACGCCCGAGCATTAATTCGAGGCATGCAATCTAAAGAGAGTTAACAATTACCGTAATTGATCACATTACAAGACCCGGATTTGTTACATTTCATCATTTTTAAATTCTCTAATAAACCAATGAGTTTATTGCATGAAACTTTAGTTTTTATACGGTGGATCTAGTATTAAGCAATATATAATTTAATTTATGTCAAACACACGGGCCTCTTACATTTCACCAATATCTTACATACCGGGTCTAATTCATATTATAGGGGAGCTGGTATATGATCAATCACGGTAATTTAACCGAATACGAACCATAATACTATTTCTAAAAAATCTTCGGCTAAATTAATTATGAGTTCACTTCAATTTGCATGCCTCAAAATAACGCCCGATGCGTCATTTCGCGCAAATACGGTAAATGAAAATTATGCAAAATAAAAGTAACGTTCTCTCATCAACATTAATAAAATTTTTATCGGAAATAAATTACCATATTGGTTAATATTTTTCTCTCAGCCTTAAAGATGGCAAATTAACTGACGTATCTTTCTTTAAAGCTAGAGGGAGGAATTGAATTCGAGAAATTAAATGATCCAAATGCATTTGATTCAATACCTCGTTATGCTCAATCAAAACT